ATTTTCCCAAAATTCTATGATTAGACCTCACTCTTCCATTGACTTTCACTTAGTCTTGCTTCTCAAAATCTTTTCTTAATCATACTGGACTGGGCGACAGTTTTGATCTCGCCTGGATCTAATCAAAACCCCAAACTGTAATTAAACTCAAGGGTGATGCAACTTAAAATATCTACATGGTACCATTAGTTCACACTGCCATGGTGGTCAGTGGGTAACAGAGCATACATGAACTCCAAAGAAGGTCAGAACTCTCCCATATCCCACATTTCTAACGTGAGTGTCTCTAAGGCAAGTTTGTATTTTGTCATTACAATTGACTACGTACCCATTTTTATATAAAGTGGATTTCTTTATTATCAGCAAATCTTGTATAAGATTCCCAGTTACCCTAGCTAAGGCCAAAATGTCAGGTCACCAGGGAGATGTGACTTTCACGGCATGGCGAGCCTCTTCAAAATCACATTTTCTAAAAGGAATTGCCGATAAGGCAAGAATGTGATTTTCAGTGAATCTTCGGAATTGCCTAGTTTTAATGAGAGTATGTTTCAAAAGTCTCAGTAAACTCATGCATTAGAGTTGACTCAGCCCAGATCACTTAAGCATAATTAACGACGGAGTGTACAGTTATTTTCACAATGGCCTCAGCTCGCAACCTTTTGGTGGGAAAGCCAAAGTGAACATAAATAGTATCACTATTTTGGACAATGCTTCACTGTCCGGGGCCAACCTTTAAAAGCCTCCTCCCAGCACAATCGCGAAAAGACCTCTTTCGCTGCTTTCCGGGTGCTAACAAGCAACACCAACTAATAATAGTTCCAGGGGGCCAAATGGAAGTTGGCGCTTCAATCGACGATGGGACTATTCGGCCATTTGTCGGCCAGACTTGCTGCCTTTGCTCCCGATTTTCGACATTTGCTTTCGTGAAGTTGATTCGAATTGGCGCTGTCTCGATCCACAGCGAGTACTTCTGTCCACATCTGATATTTATTCGCAGAAGTTAGCTAATCTGTTATGACAAATTTTCACACAATTTGGAGGGGACATGCGCATGTGGCATGGGCCAAATTCTATGTCATCGTGTCCGGTGATTTGTCTCCAAATGCAGGGAACACAATCACATGTGTGCGTTTCACACCCTTCGGATGGCACAAATTGTGTGCAGGCCCTCTTTAGTTTTTCTTTTGGAGTCAATACCAATTTGCTGGCTGGGCCTATTTTGTCGTTTGTCAGTCTTCCCCTTGAGGCGAGCCACAAACCGACTGACAGCCTCGAAAACCCACTCATTACGAATGCACACAGACAAAAGTGTTTGCTGTACAGCTCGGTCTCGCATTCTCTACTTTCTCAAGATGGGTTGTTTCATTTGCATTCGACAGAAGGAGAGAACTGGTCCTAGGTACCTCTTCCACTTTTGTAAGACTCTTGTAATCCGTTAATTCCTCAACTCAACTCAACTCAACTCGCCTCTCCTGCCAACGCGAGGAGGGACGTCTTCACAGTCGACGGCGTAGATACAAGAGGGATTTATTTGATGATCGATTGTTGCAATATGACCTAAAAGGCGTCAAGCCAGAATCACGTCTACCAATTTTGGCATGCAGTTCTACTTATTTCTACTCATTTATCATCCGTTTACCTTGTTCTGGTGCATACAGTCGCAACACATTTGCTCATCGACGTTGCCAAGGTGAGAATGGATTTGAGTCGGAAACCGAGTCGGCCTCGGTGCAGAACGAGATGGATGAGTTGGGCATCTTCTGTCGGTATGCCCAAATCGGTCGACGAGAGGCCGAGCAGAATTATCTACCAATCGAGACGGCCCAACCTCATCGCCCTGACGCAAAGAAGCATGTGAAGAAATGTCGAGTTTCAAGAAATGCCTCGTTTTACAATTGTTGAACTTTCATTTCGGGTGGAAGTGCTTGGTGAAGAGATTCGAAACTGGCTCTCATCAGAAGACGACCAGCTGTCGATTGGCTAAACCAGAACATTCTTGGTGACTCTGTTTTCGAGGCAAACTCCCTCAATTCCGGTGAAAACGTCCGTTGTATGACGAA